ACCAAGTACTCTAACAAGTCATCAGCTCATGACCAATATGGTTTTATCTATATATATTCCCTCTGATTATTTTGAATCAAATCCTGGATGTATCATCTATAAGTAACTTTAGCATGCATCTCTAAAGTATTTTTTAAAACATAACAACATCATTATCCCACCTAAAATATATTGGTCCACTTCCCCTATCTTCCCATTGGATTACTCTAACTGAAATCCCATATACAGGTGATAACTGCAATACTGTTATCATGCTTTACAAAATTAATGATTTCTTGGTGTCATGTAATAGTCCATATTCCAGTTTTCCTAGCTGTAGCTGGTTTGTGTGTGGGATTATTTGACAGATGCAAGTCAAGCCTCTCAAAGCAAAGGCAACTTTTTCTAATTCTCCCAATGGGGCCATATGGGAGATGGTCCTAGGTGGCCACATGGGTCATTATCACTTCTGTCTCTCCTCCACACACAGCTACTTCCATATTTGCACTAAAGGAGATCCAGCTACAAAAGGAGGCCAGCCTTCGGTCTTCGACGATGCCTGACTCAGGTAAGTGTGGCCCTCACCCTCTTCCCTGCCCTGTCAACCTTCCTGCTTGCCCACCAACAGCCATCTGCTCTGCTTTCCCCTGCAGGCAGGCCAGCTTTCCGCGTGGTGGACACCGAGTTTTAAGCCACAGACCGAGGCCCCAGCAGGCAGCAGCTGGAGGGATGCCACACCCCTCACAGGGCAGCCCCCAACTGCGTCCTTGCTTGCTGCTGCCTACCTGCCTGACTCATGCTTGCCTGCCCATGTGTTCCCTGCTGCCTGTCTGAACACCCAATCATTGGCCTGTCAACCCACCCATTAGCCTGTCTTGCTGGGTGCTAACAAAGCTCTCATGGCTTTTTCGCCTGGTTTGTTTGTTTGTTTGTTTGTTTGTTTGTTTGTCTGTCTGTCTGTCTGTCTGTCTGTCTGTCTGTCTGTCTCTGTTTTGGTAGTTGCCAGCAGACAGCATGGCCGTGCCAGCCTCCCACACTGAGGCTAGGCCTATACCCCTCCCCCTCATACTCTCCCCCAGGACCACTATCCCACGGTCAGCCAGGGGTCTGGAGCTAGCCCAGGCTGGGGATCTTGATTCAGACAAGATGTGCGATGCCTTGGGTCTGAGGTTTCCCCTGCCTGCTTTCCTGCCTGCCCCACCTGCCTCATGTTCTGTGGGCCTTTTTTGGGGGTTTGTTTCATTGTTTTTTAATAATTTTAAATGCAGTTTTCATTTTTTAAATGCAATATCTCTGTATACAGACTGGCTGGGTCCCACCCACTATGTGTGGCCCTCCCACAGTATTTTGTGCAATGAAGCCCCGCTCCCAGCCTTTCCAGGGCCAGGGACACAGCCCCTATTGAGACCCCTGACCATTACCAGATCCTAGGGTTGGCTGAGGGAAAGCATGCCTAGACCACTTGCCTTCCTACCCCCTCCTGCCATCCCTAGCCACAGGGGGACCTGGGAACTACCGGAGACACTCTGGGAGATGGATAGGGTGGGGTGTCCCCACTCTTGTCCTCCTGCAGTCCCATAGCTGGGGCCTCCTTCCTTCTCAGGGTCTCCCTTGCCCAGCCCTTCTGCCCCCATCCCACTTGGTGCTGTTGAGTAGGGGCCCTGCCAGGAACTGACCAACTCAGCAAGGAGCCATAGTGTTTATATGTGCACAAGTAGGGGCAGAGGGGTGTTGTGCCCAGGCCTTACCCCCTAGCCCCCAGGGAAGGGTGAGGCAGGGCAGGGACAGTCTCTGGGGTCAGTCCCAGGTGGATGGTTACCTCCCCTTCTGCCACTCTAAACCTTGAGGCCCTCAAATGGGGTGGGGGCCCTCCTAGAGGGGTTTGGGGGGGGGGTTGCATTCCTGAATGCACCATAATCGCTGTATAAAATATTAAAAAGTCTAAAGTGAAAAACCTGATTCCAAATCCCTGCAGGGGTGGGGGTGGGATCCACCCAGGGTGAGTACTGGGACCTTGGAGAATTCATACCTTGTCCCCATTATCTAGAAGAGCACTGGGAGTGATCCAGGGACATGTTTCAACTATGAAAAAGGCATCTGAGGGGCTGCACATGAAATGGTGGAACATCTAGTTGAAGCTGGCAGGGCAGGCTGAATAGAGGGGCTAAGAAGCAGAGAGGAGTTACATTTACCCAAGAATATGAGGAGTCCAGATAGAAGATGGAGATGTGTGTAGAGAGGCTGTTTGAAAGATACTTGAAAGGCCCAATAAAACCAGGTGGGGAGGTGAGGCAGAGAGGACCCGCAGGACTAATATGTCTGATTGGAACACCCTGAGGCAGGCCAGTTAGGGATTATGAGAAGAGGGTAGGTTTTAGACCACTGAGTAGGTAGTGGAATCCTTTCATATGTGGATTGATTTCTGGAGTGGGGCCTTCGGTGGAACTGCAGGTTTGGATTACTAGTGTCTAGGAAGTAATGGAATCCATGGGCATGGGTGAGATGACCCTGGGAAGGATGCAATAATTTGTGAGAGGCCAGACATGAGGTGGCACAGCCTGAGACATGGCCTCAGGTGTGAGGATAGTCAAGGCTTTGATTTCCTTTATTCTGGAAATTCTAGGCCCTGTCCCACTATCTTAGGCAAAGCTAAGGATAGACCTCAGGCAGAAGAGGGGGTCTGGGTGGTACCAAGCAAATGCTGTGGGTAATGGCAAGCCTAACTAAGTGGCTGGTTACTGAAGTGCAGTCGTGGTGTAGGGACGTCACATCATTCCACTGTGTCCTTGCAAGCACTTTGGTGATAGCTTGCAGCCTTATGGTCCCATGATGGCTGCATGTCCCCAGAGATGGGTAAATAAGCATGGCAAATAGAATGCCCTGTCTGCTTGTAACAGGCCAAAACCTTTCACTAGCTCCTCAGTGGACTTCCTGTGCCATCCCTTGGCTAGAAACAAGATTGTTATGGCCACCTCTGGCAGCGAGGGAGGCTGGGAACATGAAGACCTTGCAAAGGGGGATGAGATTGCCAGGCTGGACAATAGAAGGGCTAGAATTCACTCAACTGCTCTGGGAAGTGGTCGGGTCATTGGTGTGGGTGGAGGTTGGCCTTGGAAGTGGAGAAACCAAACCAAGTCTAGGCCTAGGGAGGGAGGCCTCTTGTTGGGTTGTAAGGAGACTGCCCACATAAATGGGGAGGGAGAGTCGATTCAGAAAGTGACAAGATTAAATCGAGTGTCTATCTGCCATGTGCCAGACACAAGTGCCCCTTTGGGGGGACCCGCAGGTGAAAGCGCTGCACCTTTCCCTCGGTTTACACAACTGAGTTGTGACCCGTCTATTGTGCCAGGTCTGGGCTAGGGGCTAGAATCACGGTAATAAAGACAGCCCCTGCCCTGCAGAGGTTAACTGAAAACTGGTATGTAATGGGTAGAAGCCAGGGATGCAGACAAATATCCTACAGTGCTTCCCACAAGAGAAACGTCAATAGTGTCTAGGTTGAGAAATCCTGGTCTAGTGCAATGGTTCTCAAACTTTTGGAGTTAGGATCCCTTTATATGCTTAAAAATTGAGGACGTCCAAAGAACTTTTGCTTGTGTAGCCTCTGGAAAATTCCATCGCATATGCAAGAGAGAATAGCAATAAAAAGTGTGAAAATAGTTTTGACTTTGTGAACCCCCCCGACAGAGTCTCCTGAATCAGTAGAAAGCCTAGGATCACTGTGAAGAATGTCTGGTATGGTGTTTTAAGGTTACAGCTCTGGAACCAGAATTCCCAAGTGCCAAGCACTAGCTGGTGCAAAGGGAATCAACGTTTCTAGTCCTCAGCGTGGCCTATTGTTGCCCATAGGCGACAGTGATATTTATCTGCCGCCTAAGGGTACTATTTACCTGAAATAAAGTACTTAACCTGGGCCAACTGTTTACTAGTTATCATTGCTGTAACTCCAGCAAATACACAGGGCCTGGGGCTGATTTGCCTGCAACACGTTTGTCGAGAGAATCTAGTTCTGGCGCGGAAGGGGCCCGCAGGCCTGGGTGGCGCTCTGGTTGTGGTGGCCTCTTTGCGTTAGGTTTTGATGGAGAAGGGTAGTGCACTGAAGGAAAGGCATTCTGGTCAGGCTAACAAATACGCATCTCCCAGGCTGGGGACTCACGGTCCCCTCACAGTATGGGACCAAAAGGACCCGGAACCCTTTTGTGTCCCTGAGCACTCCCCCAATGTCCTCGTCCACCTCGGGGACCTCTGCCTCCACCGTCCATACAACTGCCTACCCTGACTCAACATGGCATTAGAATCCTACCAGGCACCCTTCTCCAGTTCCTAGCTAGAAGTTTTACCCTGCCAACTGGTCTCAAAGATCACTGCCCACGCTCTGATGGCCGCCTAGCCCTGAGGCGCTGCCCACGCTCTGATGGCCGCCTAGCCCTGAGGCGCATCCGAGCGTGGGGGTTGATTTTCAAGATGGCAGCAGCCACCGCCCGTCTGTTTGGGGGGCTCGGTTTCCGTTTCCGGTACCAGAATCCGGAAGTGGCCATTGAGGGGCCTCTTCATATCTCCAGCTGCGGTGGCTGTGAGACTAGGGCGAACGGCGATGGCGGAGGTCTCAGCTGCGGCACTGTACCGACAGCCACAGTGCAAAGCGATGCCGGGCTTGGACAGCCAGCGGCGCCAGATCGAGAACGGCGAGACTGGGCGAGAGCGTCCACTGCAGGTCGGCGAAAGCTGGTGAGGCAGGGTTGCAAGCGGTACCTCAGTTGAGGGAACGGTGGGGGCGATGGCGAGGGTGGCAGCCTTCACGGCAGAGGTCCACCGAACCGCCGGGAGTGCGGGGGAGTGGCCTGTGGGACGGAGCGTGAAGGAGGCGGGGAAGCGCCTGTGAGTGGCCCGCCGTGGGGACAGAGGCGGGGCCTGTGTGAGGGCCTCGGCCCCCGGAGAACCAGACCCGGTTTGCTGTGGAGAGGCAGAGGCGGGGCGGGTTCTGTGGGGAGGCGACCGCGGAGGTGGGGCCGAGGCTGCGCAGTGAAACTTGGAGCGTGGAAGGGAGATGGCGGAGGCCGGGGGCGCGTGGCCTGGTCGGCTTGAGGAAATGTAGCATCTGGAGGTGGGGTGGCCTGTGGCAGCTCTGCGGAGCGCCTGAGAATGAGGCTGGGCGGGTGACGTCCGGCAGGAGAGCGGAATCCGAGCCGAAGGGCTGCGGACGGTGCGAGATAGCTGGCTCCTGGGAACGAGGCTTGTGACGTGTGTCGAGGGGGTGTGCCCTGAAGCTGAGCAAAGGACTGCAGAGGGGAGGTGCTGTCTATGTAGTAGAAAATGGCGCCTGCGAATGAGCAAAGTTTGTGACGCGGCGAGGTTTTTGCCTCTGGCGGAGACCTTCCCAGGACGGGAGAAAGTGCAGGTGATTGGCACGGGAGGGGCCTTTAGTGTTGCCTCTGTTTTCTGTTTTAGTACTGTTGTGCTTCTGTAATCAGAAGAAAATAGCTTTAAAAAGATGTCGATGCGTACCTTGATAAATCAGCTTGTTTTACTGATTTCTTTGCTAACTTAGTGCTTGAAATGTACTATTGCTGGGTTCATTTTCTTACTCGCCGAATTGCATCTCGTTTAAGTTGCGAAATACGTAAGACCTAAAAAGATGACATAAAACGTTCACGTAGCCCAAATTGATGGACATTCTATAAAAATAAACGGCCTTTGCTCTTCAAAAATGTCAAGGTCGTAAAAGACAAAGGATGAAGAACTGTTCCAGGTTGAAGGAATTAATGGTATTTAATAAGTTGTGATAACTAAATGCAATCTGTGATCCTAGATTGGATCCTGGAGCAGGAAGAAAATCACTTAAAACAGATTAATTTTCTCTCTTTTGCTGTAAAAGATGTTGGTGGAATTTGGAAGGTCTGTACATTGATATTGGTTCTGCTCATTTCTTGTTTTTGATAATTGTATTGTGCTTATGAAAGGAAATACCTTTGTTTTTAAGAAATACACATCGAAATATCTAGGGGTTAAATAACCATCGTGTAAGCAGCTTACTCACAAACGGTTGGGAAAATAGCATATATAAAAACATATTTAAAGAAACAGTAGGTAAAATATCAAATTTGGGGTATCTGGATGAAGGGCATACGGGAGTTCTTTGTATATTTTCTGCAATTTTCCTGAGTCTATTTAAAAATAAAAAATGTAAAGAATAATAAAACAAAAAACTGAATTCACCAGCCTGGTTAAGAATTCAGACCATTACCTTAAGGCATCCTACAGTCTCCCTCTCTGCGCCACGGGAAACTTAACCCTGATTCTTAATTTCGTTAACATTTTCCGACCACTGTATGCATTCCTAAATAGTGTTTGTGGTCTAAGCTTTCATTTCATGGAGGATATATATGAAATCATACTGGATGCATACCAGGTGCCCTTAGCGTCACGTCAGTTGGTCCATAGTATATCCACATGACGTCATTGGTGATGTTGGCCTCGATCGCTTGGTGAAGGTGGTATCTGGCCGATTTCTCCACTGTAAAGGTACTATTTTCCCCTTTCTGTACACGGTAATTAATAAAAACATGAGGTATGTCCATTCCTCAAAACATTTTAACAGCTTCCCATCTCACTCAGCGTAAATGCTAAAATTCTTAGAATGACTTACAAAGCTTTCGGATTACGAAGTTGGTCCCCAGCTCTGATTCTTCTCCCATCTCTGATTACCCTCCCCCTCATTCTCTCCATCCCGCCATATTGTGCTTTGCTTTCCTCAAACCCCTCACACATGCTGTCACCTGAGGTTTGCCCATGTTACAGAGTTCTTTAATCATGTTGAGATTTCCCAAATCGGAATACGCAGTCAAGCAATTTTTTTTTAAACCATTACGCTGTAGCTCTCCAGCAAGGAAAAGCCTTAATCCATCCTGAGAATAAACGATAATGGGAACGTTTTTATAGCCCATTTGGAGGTGTTCAGAAGGGCCTGGGGGATTGGATTCCTGCGCATCCTACCTTTACAGCTTTGTCATGACAGTACCCTTTAAAATTACGCCACCCGTATGGGTCTCCTTTTGGGGTTTTGAAAATGTTTTGAAACTAGATAGAGGTGGTGGTTGCACCACATTGTGAGCGTACTAAATGCCACTGAATTGTTCACTTTAAAATGGTTAATTTTATGTTATGTGAATTTTTAAAATTAACGTTCTGTCAATAAAAATTACCCCACCAATGTTGGTTCAATATTGAAGCCAGTTTATCTCTGCTACTGTGGATGATACCGTGAAAAGTTTTTCTGTAACTCTATTTAATGCATATCTGTATAGGTAAGAGCAAACAAAGCAGCTCTTTAATTTGCCATCCATTTTATAGGGGTTTACTGCTGTGGTCAGGAAATTTGTGTTTATAAAGCTTTGCGAAATCACTAACTAAGCCCCAAATCATAGACCTATTGTCAGTATTTGCACCTTCTAGCTTTTGTCAGCTGGAAGATGTGGGTGAGGACAATTATTAATTTAGCCGTCTGAACTGAATTAATTCCTAGGAGCTGTTTGTATTTTAAGAGTAAACTCAAATCTCTGGAGTATAGCTTCCTTGGCAATTTGTAGGTTTTCTTTTTTGAGGATGAACCATCTACGAACATATTTAGATCGGTGATAGTGGAGGGTGCCTCTAGGAAGTCTGTGCATGGTGTGGATAGTTTCCTAACAGGTAAGCAGGCATGGGGTTCTTTGTTATGGTGCAGGAGGGAGGGTGTCCCCCGGTTCAGTGTTGTGGGATGGATAGCGATGTGGGAGTGCTCCGTTGAAGTTTTAAGGGTTAGCCTGGAAATGTTGGTGCATTTTCTGTCAGTGGAGAAGTCTGCATGGCATAGGGAATCATTAAGTTTAATGAAGACCTTAAAATGAAAGCAACTGAAATTTTTCACGTTTGATTGACGATTGTTGCTATAACTCTACAGTTATTGGCTACTGGATCTCATGAAAGACTGAAATAGCAGGCCTCTGACAGTTCCCTTGTGATTGAGTTAGTACCCCTAGTTGTTCAGACTTTTCAAAAGAGAAAAAAGGGCTTGTGAATCCAGTATCCTGCAGGGGGATTCTCTTGGTGGACAGTAACTGTGTAGTCTGTTGCTTGAACACGAGTATGCCTTTTAGCTTGACATGTAGGCAGTTACTGAAAAACATTTATGTTAGCATATCTAATTACATATTATGAACTATAATTAAGCTAGGAAGATAAACCCTTTTTGGTCTGTTGGTTTTTTAAATATTAAATATAAAGAAATCCAGGCTTGAAAAAAATCAGGTTTATAAAAATTTCAAGTTACTTACAATTTGGAGCGTTTCAGGTCAACATAATGATGCCCATTGTCATTCCTTTTAAAGAGCAAAGGAGCAGATTTTTAGGTTGTCTCCCAGAAATAATTCAGGTATAAAAGAACATTTTAACAGTGTTATTTTTCTGAGTTTGGGGCCTGAATTGGGAATGACAAATCAAGAATAGATGTTAGAAAAGACAAAAGTTGAAGGAACGACAAATATTTATAGTCAGCTTTGTAACAATGCACAGTGATAAACAACAAAGATTGTTAGGTGCTTACTTTTTCTTAAGCAAGGAATCTCTTAAAAATGAGTCAAGAGGATGTCAGAAAGCACCAAGAATTAAAAATAATTTGGTGACAAAAAGGAACTTCTAATCTGGGTATAAATTAGTGTCATTTTATAGAAAAGGCCCAAGGTGCTCAATTTCCTCCTTTGGTACACTATTCATTTAATAATTTTTACAGTAAGGGATTTATTTATTTGCTTTTATATATATTTAGGCTTATGCAGATATATGATATAATACATTTAAAACAATGTAATATTACATTTACCATTTGAATAAGCTAACAGCCTTTTAATAAACAACTAGGGAATCATCATTGTACCCAGTATAATTAACCAATTGTGTAAATCATTACTTAACCAAAGAACCAATTTTCTTTTCTCCAGACACTAGAGCAAACTAAAGGACAGAAAATACTATTTAGTAATTTTTTTTCCCAAATCACATATTTCCTATCATCTTAACAAATTTGAAGAAGCACAAATGTATTTCTATATACTAGCAACAAAAAATTAGAAAATTGAAAGATACCATTTATGATAGCATCTAAAAAATTGAATACCTAGGAGTAAATAGAACAATATGGGTGCTTTTCCGTCAGACAGTAACAACTGTCATGACTGCCACCTGGGCTGACAGATAGGAGACATCCTAATTTCAGAGATGTTAAAATTTTTTAAAGCATCTGAATTGAAGAAAGAAAGATTTTGTGAAAAGTTGTGTAAAACTTCAGACGTCTATGAAGCCTTTAGAAATTCAGGTCATAGCCAGGTCTGGAGGTTGCTTGCCCCTATAAAGGGTTATTTTAATGTTGGTTTCCCATAAAATCTATTCTTCAAAAAAGATGAGCAGTGCCGCCCTTTGCATTGAAAGTCCCATTAACTGTAAATTAGCTCTCTACTGAATAAATTAACCTCCTGACTGTCAGCGGAGGCAGTTAAAGCCATGAAGCAGGTGGTATAGGTGTAAGCAGGGGAATCCCTCTAGATGAGTGATGGGAAGTTTGTGGCATGAGCCACCAGGGCAGGGAGGGCGTGTGTGCTTGGCATGACTGTTATGCAGGGGCTGTGGGGGCCAGAGCAGCCAGAAAAAAACAAAACAAAACAAATGTTTGCCTATTGAGGTGACTTGTGAGGCTTCTAAGGTTTTTCTGTCCCTCCATTCCCTTGCCTCTCAGATCCTTTTATAAACAAAGGAAAGTTGCCATTTTAAAGAAGCCCGTTTTTAGGGTTAAATTGCTGGAAAACTAACCAATGTTATGTATTTTTCAACCATTTTGTAATTTTTTAAAAAGTGTTTATTTGATGGTATTTACTACTTGGGACAGCCTTTTATGTGTCAGAAATTCATAGTGTGTGTGTATGTCTGTGTGTGTTGTGTGTCTGATACATGTGTGAGCTTTTACATCCAAGCCCTGGGGTTGAAACAGTAACAGGTAATATTCATTTAGCATTTACTATATATCAAGTATTTTTCACACTTGAGAATTTCTCATGGGATTTTAAAAAGGCAGGTTGCAACAGTCCTTAATGTTTAACCTAGTAGAACACAAAAAAGTTTCTCATATAAAAGAGAGCTAATCCGCTTAAAAATGGTTCAGATGGTAAATTTCATTATGAGTTACTTATTTATTTATTATTTTTTTAATTGTGTTATCATTAATCTACAATTACATGAAGAACATTATGTTTACTAGGTTCCCCCCTTCACCAAGTACCCCCCATATCATTAATCTACAATTACATGAAGAACATTATGTTTACTAGGTTCCCCCCTTCACCAAGTACCCCCCACACACCCCATTACAGT